TGGCATCAGATTATACAAGGAGTTTCGGCGGTCGCTCATGTAGCTGTATATTGTATACTTAGCCCCCAAAGGGGTTCCCATATAACTACTCTAGGGCCCATGTATATACCATATAGCTACATGGAGCCGTTGGTGTAGGGAAGGAAGGGCTGGAATGTAGAGACTGTATACGGCCTACTGTAGCGGGGATTCTGGGAGCCATTCCGTAATTACTAGCCGTTTGCAAGTTTTGGGTGAAGGCCATCGTCATTTCCAGACATGGGGTCCCCCTTTACCACCTCAAGATGTTATAGTTCTTCTGGAAAGGAATTCCTGAAAATAACTCCTTATCTCTAGAAACCTCATGTTGTGGCTTCAGGTACCACATGGTGACAATCAAAACGGTTTTTTTTTGTGCTGGAACCATCATATTCGTGCAAAAAAAAGCAACGATAACCATAGGAGCAAAGGCTACATGTCTTGCCAATTCCTAAGCCCTAAACCGATAATTCTGAGGGTTCTCGGTCTCCCTCTAAGAAGGCCATGTGTTGGGAGTCCTGTTCATAGAAGAAGCCCATGCGCCACAGCCCAGGCATTCAAACGGTAAAGCCCGCCCGTGAAGCCTACAGACACAGAATTACAGCTTTCGAGCCCTAAACCTCAGCCTACAAATTCTAAACCTGAACACACATTACAATAGTTCGTAATCTGCCCCAAACCGATAGACCCAAAACACATTCAATCTTCACACCCCAAATTTTAGGACCCGACGTCCTGAACTTGGGCGTTGCAGGGATGGCTATTTCTGTCCCTGATCCTGAGCAGGTATCCCTTAGGAGGAGCCCCCACCATGTAATAGTGGTAGACCCGAATATGATCCTTCTTATTCCTTACAGTCACTATTTCTGAGTGGGGGGTCCACCTGAGGTATCCCCATAATCCTGTTGTAATCCGCAAAGAGGGGTTGTGGAAGAGCATTGCACTCTCCACGTACCTCCATGGTATATGCCTTTGTGGAAACGGCAGTAAGGTAGTGTACCTGGATCCTGAAGCCCCAAACAGAAACCCCAAGTCTAGGGTCACGGATTCACTTTGACGACATCATGAGGTCAGCCTCTCGCTGTTGCCGGGCTTCATTCGGCAGGCTCGGTGGGCTCTGAAACAAATACGGACTGGCTTACTACTTGCAGGCTCATGGGTGATAGAAGTGAGACAACTAGCTTAGCAACTATAACCTCGTTTAGGAGGCTTGTACCCTGCTTAGCAGGGTCGCAAGTAGACCCTGGCAGCCCTGTAATTGTGGCTCGCATGATACGTTTCCACATCGACACCTCCCTTGCTGCATGCATTGTGAAACTCCACGTTTCCACCTCTCCTACGCAACCTTCCGTGACGGAATCAAGAAAGATCGATACCCTAAACCCTATAAAATCCCAAACCTCCCTGACAGAATCATCGACATCCAAGGCTTTCGTTTATCAAGCACGAGTTGTCTCCGGATAGGATAGCGTAGCCAAACCCTGCAGAAAAGGAGGGCAGGGTTCCCAAAAAGTGTTTAGGTTGGTCCCTTTTGGGGAATCCTAGAAATATGGATAAAAGATATATATTGGGGTTTACATTAGGGCCCACCATACATGCACATCTCCATGTTCTTCCTACCTTAAATCCATCGCAGCTTAGATCAGCTGATAAGCTCAACGGTGAACCTTATACCCTAAAGATCTACATGCTAAACCCCGTACACCATTCCTTGCACCAAAGTTGAGCTATAGTTTCAATTCCTAAGACACATTATATAGGGGATTGTTTGCGGGAGTATTATGGGGCTTCTTAAGGGCCATACTAGGAGTTTAGACTATGGCTGAAATGCCATCCCAGCCAGGATGTAAATTCGCGAGATACCACACATGTCCTACAGCATTCCTTGAACTAAGACCTCGGCTACATCCGCAAGATATGAAGCCTGTAAACTAAGCCCTATATCCCTCAGCCCCATTTGCTTGAATGTGCTCAACCCTTCTCTCTATCATCAATGAACACCTTCCCATCCTCAATATTGATTATGTTCCACTATGTAGCTGCGCTCTCAAAGCGCTTGCAACTTGAGAACAATCAGATTACAAAGACCTCTCCCAGACATTTGGGCTGTAAACCCTGAATCCTAAACCTTAAGCCCAAAACATTAAATCCTAAACTCCCTAAACCCTAAACCCTAAACCTAAAAGTCCTAAGCCAAAGGGAGCGACAGGCAGAATGCTGCACCTCAGCCATCAGTCTTCGGACATTCTAGTGCTAAAGTCTTGTAGAACTAAGGAGTAATTTGAGTACAAGCACAAAGGGGTTAAGCCCAAAAAGAATGGTCTCACTTCTCGGGTTGGGCCCCCACCCGCTAATCGTGGTATATTAGGAATATATAAGGACCCTAATATAATTACCATTACCTCTTGTGGTCACTATTAGCGGGTGGGGGCCCAACCTAACTCACTTCTTGATCACGATTCAACCTTAGAATTTGCCAATAGCTCAAACCCTCAACCCTGAGCTCAAAACCCTAAATCCAACCCCTAGCACATCTCATTCTCCATGATAAGGTTGGGGCTGCCAATACTACAACCTTAAACCTTCTACCCTTAGTACCCTGAAACCCCAAATATCTGGCATAAACGTTGGGCCCTAATGTTTGGAATAATTACCTACATTGGACTCTTTGGTAGTTTCCCTAGATAGGGGTACTCCGGTTATGGACCCCAAAGCACTATAGTCCCCAAAATGCTATACATCTTGTTACTGGGATCCCGCAAGATTACCCCTACTTTTGGCAAAGCTACGTTTGGAACATTAGGGTTAACCCCATAGTAGTTTCCATTTTCCTTTCCATTATCCCAATATAGCCCCTAAACCCCTTAACTTTAAACCCTATATGACCCCATTAGGGTCCTGGTTAGAGGCAGCCGAGCTCGGCGAAATACGGAGCGCGCCGCTCCCTTCACTGCATGCAGTGCGACCCAAAGACCAGGCCACCTTGAACCTGGCGATGTTGGGGACCGCCCCCCCTAAACCATAAACCCCAAACCCTGGGGTTTGGGGTTTAGGGTTTAGGGTTCTAACAGCTGTATAATAAGTATAATATGGTTATATATCGCCCTTAATAGGACCCCTAATATAGACTGTGACTCGGTGGGGGCAGTACCCAAGGTTTATGGGATTTGAGGTTTAGGGCTTATAGGGGTTTGGGGTTGACGGATTAATGTTTGGTATTTGTAGGGTTGAGGGTTGCGGGATTGGGGTTAAGGCCAGGGTTTAGAGCTTTCAGACTCCAGCAAAGTCGGCGTAAAGGGGTTTCAGGGTTTGGCGTTTTGGATTCCAGCTTGGTATGGGGCAGGGTTCAGGCTTAAACCAGGGTTCAGGCCTAAACCCTAAACGCTAGTGTTTGGGGAGTTTGCGGGTTCAGGTTGCCTTGGGTATTTTGGGCTTATGATTTCGGGCTTATGGCTTCATGCTGGATGCGTGCTGGAACACATGTTTGTGGTAGTGGTAAGCTGGCTTAAGGGATTGATATTCGAAATGTACGTCACAACGACAAGAGTACTTATGCAACACACGAGTACAGCAAAAGGGCCGACCTGTTCAGGGACCCACAACCCAAACCTTATACCCTATAAGCCCTAAACCCCAAACCCTATAAGCCCTCATCCTAAAACATGCGATTTGATGGATCTCTAGTCTACGACTGGAACCAAGAGATCCTTCGAGCCCTAGGGATGGATTAGGGTTTAGGGCTTAGGGTTCATGATGAGTGGATCTATATAGTACATTTGTAATGCCCTCCCCGTATTGGTCAGCATGCCCCCCACCCCTGGATATTCGATTCTCTGGATAAGAAAGCTTGTATGTTGAGAGATTCACCGAATGTTGGGGTGGCGGGCTTAATGTCGGACTAGGGGCAGGTCATTGTAACCTAAGCTTTGTCTTCCTAGATGAAGGGGCGTGGCCAAGCACATGAAGGGGCCATCTCCAGCTGATAGGATACATCCCTCTGCCACCCAACAAAAGGAGAGATTCCAGCCTATACACCGTATAAAGGTGGTGGGGTCTTTGTTTTCTCTTGGGGATGCGGTTGGTAAATTACATGTGTTTGGGATGACTACATGGAAAAGAGGTGTCAGAAGTATCCTTACTAAGTCCGCCAGACACTCCAAGTACAACAGTGCGAGGCTAGAACCACGGCCCTTAGTATGGGCCCTTTCACGATTTGGGAGGCTTTTTAGTGGCCCTTTGAGGGTGTGCATGTTATAGATGGATAGGTAGATAGATGGGGTTTCCCAAAATTAGGATCTCTGTTCCGGTTGTCCCGGGAGCAATCAGGACTATAGCGTTTAGGGGTCTATATACTGGGGTCCCCTTATTTATGGAAACTGCTAGATAGATGTAGGGCACTGTATAGTCCCCCTTAAGTAGATAGAATATGGGGTATATGGGGATCTTGTTATCATATACCCAAAGCCATATTCCATCTACTTAAGGGGGACTATACCCTAGCCCCTGAACCCTAAACCTTATCCCCTAAGCCCTATATTTCTACTTAAGGTGGACTATGGGGTATGGACTTGGTTTCCTTGGGCTTGCCCCGGAGGCCGCAGAGAAAGCTTCCCTCCTCGAGCAGGTTGGGGCTGGGGTGTTGGGGTATGTGAGCTATAGTCTAAATTCCTTCAAGGGGATTATGTAGGGGACTATATAGGGGCCTACTATAGGGGTTATTAGGGGGGATACTAAGAGTTTAGACACTAGCTCATGTGATCTTCATCAGGGCTTTAGTAGGGTTTTAAGGTAGAAGCCGGAATAGATGAGTAGTATTTTCTTTGAGGATACTTAGCACAATAGAGAGCATGTAAGATTAGATTCTCCTGTTGGGTATGGTGTTTTGCAAGAATATAATCTTATTAGGTTCAACCACCGAACAGCGTGCTACCCAAATGGATAAACTTATGTAAAGCTGGTAAAAGGGGACGACCCTGCTATTTCTTTTTCTGTACGCATCTACGTTGCAGGGATTTTGCACGCCGAGGTTTAGCGGCAAGATTTGTTCTTCGTTCATATTTTGACACAGGGCCCAGGTGGGTCCTAGTCAGCGCTTCCGGAATAAGATCCTGTACATGTACAGATGCATTTGCAGGCTTCATAGCCCTAGATGGTTTCATGCGGTAGCGTGCCCTGCAGCATTGGCTTTTTGGACCTGTCGAAGGGGTAACGGTTCGTGCTAATTGGGATCAAAGCAATTTGGGGCCCCAAGAACTCGGTTGTCATTTTGAGTGAGCGCAATCTAGGGTCCAAAAATCTTGGCTAATGGACGCCTGGATGTCTAGGGGAGGGGTTTTGTTTTTGGGCAGGCTAAGGCATCCGTGTGAAGACGCCTTGCGCTTTCAATGAAGAGTAGCAATATTGGGGTTAGGTTCAGGAAGCTAGTTTTACCATCAAACCTCTAAGCCAAGATCCGCTGAACGCCGAGGACATGAAATCATGAAATACGAGCTGGCACGACTTTCCAGCATGGATTTCGTCAACCAAGCTCCTAGCGTGAACTCGTCGTACCTCAAATCCAAAGCTGCTTGTGCTAGTCCCCGACATGGGGTGTAGTAAGCAAATTCAGCCGCCTATGTATTTCCTTGACAATCAAAACCTTGGGGTCCACAACCCCATATCAAACCTGGATTATGGACGCCCAGGGGCATTGTGATTATGTGGAAGCCAGATTATGAATCCCCAAGAATTCAGATCCTAGCTGAAACCCCACGCCCTACCCCTTTTTGAGGGATAAAATTATGTCAAAAAGGGGTCGGTCTAGGTAGGGCCCCTGTCTTGGAGCCAAGCCCAAGCCCTTAACTTATTACTCTATATTGGGGTATTTAGGGTTAAGGGTTTAGGGGAGGCCCCTAAACCCCAACCCAAATCTACAGCAACCTCAAAAGCCAGCATCTCCTATCCCTGAACCTGAATCCCTAAAGCCCCTCTGATTTCCCCTACACTCTGAACCTTAAGCCCCCAGTCAGGCACAGCAGTTAGCAGAGGAATCCCTCCTAGCCCGCCTCACTGGCCCCGCCTCTGCACGCACAGAGCTGCGTGAGCTGCCACCCATGGCGGTAGTGGCTTCTGGGTTGCAAAAGGGAGCTGTCGGTTTGTGTTCGGATTTGGAGGACTTTTGGGAGTGTGGGGTCATGTAGGGCGTAGGGGCTAACTAGGAGTTAGGCTGCATGTAGGGCTTGAGGGCTTGGATGGTTTGAGTATGTTGAGGATGTAGGGTTGCGTCTTCACTGTGGTTCGTGTAACTGGGCTTATCATTTTGAGACTGGATAACCTTTCCCTGACAATAACTTCCCCAACCTCGTGCCCGTGATGGTTTTACCAGGTTGGGACTATGTGGTAGTGTCCAGAAATAGGGGGGACCCCCACGTAGACCCAAACATGCTATAGTCCTTCTTGTTGGGATTCCCCAACAAGAGCCTCCAATTTGCGAGGAGTGAATCATGAGATTTGGGGTCCTGGGATTGACGAGGTTACGTACGGCCTGAAGGCATTTGAAAGAAGATGCTATGGATCAAACATGGATTTGCAAAATGACTACCTGATGCTTGGCGAGGAACGAGAGACTTGAGCCCTATCGTACATCCAACAAAATGGTAGTTTCCCAAAATAGGGGGACTCCAATATAGACCCCAAAATATTATAGTCCTTATCATAGGGACCCCTAAAAAGGGTACCTCTAATTTGGGAAACCCCCAAATAGTCTCTATGATCTGTTCGCCCTTTCCCTGCTCATCCAGGAACTGATTTGACCTGGGATCCTCCCTATACCCTCAACCCTTTGGTTCAGGCTCTCATGTTATGGATTCTCCTAGCCACCCATGCTATACTACTCCGCGAAGGTTCCGCCTTAATTAGGTTTGATTAACCCTATATAAGCCCACTTGGGGGGAGAGCCTTGGTATGCAAGGGGGCTGGGTTGGAAAGCCCATCATTGATGATGTGTGGTTTTAGTCAAAAGTATCTCAGCTATGTTTACAGAGTGTGTTCAGAAAACACATAATGTTGGTATCCTCCAAGAACCCCACCGAGAATACAGAATTATTTATGGTCCCCCCCCCCCCAGCCCCAGACTCTGCGCCCCCAAACCTCAGTTTTTCGATCATAAGCCTGGCGGCCAAGAATCTCCAAGCCACTTTAAACCTACATGTGATCCTGTAACTGCTCCCCCACCACACTTTCTTTGTCGACCACCAAGCTTCACGTCAACCTTTTCAAAGCCCCACGCCAAGATCAACTCCAAAGCCCTGGAAGCCTCAAACCCGAAGCCCTAAAATTTCAAGACCCTCAATCATCCAATCTCTAAGCACTAGAGCCATCAACCCTCAACCCCCCCCCCCTCCCCCCCGGCAAACAAAAAATACAATGAACCAAAACCTTGAACACCTAAATTAACCAGAGGTCCGATTTTCCTAACACCCAAGGCCCTTTTTCGAGCTCTGGAGCTGGCCGCCAGCAAGAGGCGAATTTTGGGCTTCCAGCCTCCCAAAGCGGCTGGGTTGCTGTTATGGAACTAAAACTAGTATGACTTATTAAGATTATTTCTATCAAATATTCTATTATTACCACTATTAGTTTTCTCATTATCATTATTTTCTTATTATCATTACTACTGTTTTCTTAATTTTCTTAGTACCATTATTACTATTATTATTCGTATTA